ATAAAAGAGGTTTAATAGAGTGTATTTTATTGTAGTCGGTAGTTATTAATATATCTTTGGATTAACCCCTAATTTACCGTCCCCTACGTACGGCTACGACCGTAGTTACCTCAACCTACCTTTCGCCTACGTTCCTGATAGTATTCCTCTTTTTATCCTTCTAATATCCCTTTTTTCTTTCTTTTCTTAAGTAAAAGGAACTTCTTTAATTCTTATTCTCTATTCTTTTCCTTCTCACTACTTCTATTATTAGTATTAATAAGAGGTAATTCCTATCTACATTAGTAATATTATTATTAAAGCCCTTTTAATAAAAATTTATAGTAATTAATTACTTCCTTTCAATTCTTTAAAATATAATAATAATAATAATTACAATCCCGAAAGTTTATTAATAGTAATAGTCGATATATTCTACAAAGGAGGAATTCGGAGATAATAACTAGTACCCTTCCCTTTAGGGAACTAATTATAAATTTTCGAAGAAAAGGGTCTAGGGGCCGTTTAATCTTTCTACACTTAGGTAGGGGCTATATACTACTAACTCAAAGATAGCAATCCCTAAAGGCTTAATACTAACACCTACCCTAATTATCAACGGATTTTTTCATTACTTATTATTCTTAAATAGTCTTTCAATTAAACTACTACTTAAATAGCCTATTAATCGTCTATTCTTATTATTATTTAAATACTATTAGTTAAATATTTATTTATTTATCGGATTATACAATCGAATTACTACTATTTAACAATTTATTTATCGTTTATACTTGCTTACGTTCAATTATTATTATTTAAATATTTATTTATATATCTTTCTTATTAATTAGTTATACTATTATTCGTATTCCAATATTATATCCAAATAGTAGTTAAGTAATTACTAATTAATTATATTATCGCCGATCGTAGTACGACTACTAATATAACTATATATCGGCTACTATCGAGGGCCCCGGACCATAACAAATATCCAATACTAAGAATCTTTATTCTTTTTTAAAATAAAGCTATTTAAGCCTTTTCATAATAATTAATTAAATATCGTTAATAAATATCGGGCAAACCTTAACGAGGATAGAAAATTGTAAATTCCCTATATTCATTTTAACCAATTTAGCACAGAATTTTTAATACCTATCTCGTCCTTATTACTAATTTAAAATAGCGAGAAAACTACAATAACAACACCAATACTACTACGACCAATACAATATATAAGGGCTATAGTTCTTAATTATTTAATTAAGTAGAATAATAAATAATTTTTAAGTTTTTTCGGATAGTTGAGATGGGAGGCATTAAACTAGATACAACTCATTAGAGTCACGTATTTGTTGAATAGCTTAATATTCAATTTTCGCCGGAAAATAAGGGTAATTATCGGATCTTTCTACATCTTTCTTTTAAATATAAATAGGAATACGAATAAATATTTCCCTAAGAAGGATAAAGGATTATTTAGTATATTAAATAAATAAAGATAAATGATCAGCGACTATCAAAAACTAATCTTATATAACTAAGAATTACTAAAGAGCTAGAAACTAATCATTTAACTTAATAAAAGGTTAATATTCTATTTATCTCCCATCCTATTTCTTCATATTCGGTCTCCTTCTTTTTCCTATTCTTTTTCCACACTAACTGTCCAGGTTTGCTCAATCTAGAAAGTACTTCCCTAATCCTATATATTTTGAAAATTTTTGAAAAAAATCACTACTGAAAACCAATGTATATGTTCCCATATACCACCCTAAATCAACAAAGACAGATTAAAGTGGCTAAGTACGGAGTATAAAGGCAATAATGGGAATTTGTATAATGTTTTGAATATAAGAAACTGTGTATTCTAGGTAAGTTTATACATTAGTTGACTATGAAAACGCATAAGAAAGTTGACCCGAGGTCTGGAGCTAACAAACAAACCAAACTGGACAAGTGTGCCTGGATGACATTATAGTAGCTGAAAGTCGCGAAAACTATACTAGGGATGGACTTATTGGTACCTTTAGCTGTCTGTCTAACCCCAAATGTTACCTCACCCATTGTATGGATTGGACAGTTTGAACGAAGGAGGCCCATTATCATCTTCAGGGGGAACAAAAAAAAAAAAAAAAAAAAAAAAAAAAAAAAGGGGTAGGGTTTTTGGCCCCCATCTCGCGATCATGAACAGTCTATAAAGGGGATTGTTAGGTAGATTCGCATCCCGCGCTGCGCCGTATCTGTGCAGTAGGTCGCGACCTCAAGGAGCTGAAAGGGATCACCGGGCGGATCATAAGCTCGTCTACAACAAAATTAATAAGACTTTTGCAGTCCGATACCGCTCGTTGTAGTTAAGAAAGGCCGTTGCAAAACTGTAATAGGGATTACGATAATTCGAAAACACATCGGCGAGAGTCTCAGTGGGATATTGCTATTCAGGAACTGCCTAAAAATTCAATTCAAAGGCGTGTTGAAGACGCTTGGATGCGTAATAAGGGTATACCCAAGGTATAATGTTGAGTTTGAGAATCCTTATGCCGTGGGAGACTATGTGTGGGAGTTGATCGCAGGGACAAGAGACATGAAGCTATAAACTGCCTGAAAGAAAAACATCAACCAAATGAAATTGGTAGTACACTGGCCGTGTAAAGGGGGTGTAAATGGCTATACGGTGCATTTGAAAGGTGGCTTGAGCTTTGTCGTATAAACCTAGCTATACGGCCTTATCCTCTGTACCGCAACCGTACCAAAACAAATGTAGCCTTAGTTACCTACCTACAGTACAATACTTTGTTTCATCTTGTTGAATCACCACTCAACGGCCATATTGAAAGTCACTGCATACGCTTATCTCGACTCCCGAGTTTGTGGCTGCTGCATTCATGCCGTTCGGGCGTTCTGTGTAGCAGCTTTCATATAGAACCAAGCCCGTTTCCGGAACTCTGCCGAGTTGGCTCCAGCATGGTGTTTGTTTTTATTACCTAGACAACATCTGAACATGTCTGGCGATGTCAGACGATACAGGGTGAAGCACCCGTCTCGCTGCTTGATGGATGGCATAGTCTGATTTCCAGCCATGCTGGCCAGCTGCCTTCGCCAAAACCATGACTCTACGAAATCAATTAGTCCCAAGATGTGGTTCGCTTTCGCTGTCCCGTTTTAGCAGGTCCTCTGGTCTTTGACTGATGCCCTTGACCTACTCGTCCGATCTTGGTCCAGGATAGTTTCTTGGTTGGGAGTCATCGGCGTCGGTCTCGTCCGCTGGAGGCCTTTCCAAGCAACCCATTCACTGCAGCAACAGGGTTTCATTGTTGCTCTAGTGAACCTAGTCAATGGGACACTGTGACAGCGGGGTGACGCAAGAACATTCAATTTCAATAGCAGCACCTGATGACATCTCAACTGCCTATTCGAGCCTACATCTACACCCTTCACTACCACCCAAGAACGTGGTGACTGTTCGTCTGGCCGAGGCTCTGCTGGGCTTTATTCCGCCTCCGATTCCAACTCTGCAAAAGGAAGCTATCCAAAACAAAAATAAAAACACATCTCATCTAGAAAAATAGGAAAAGGAAATTCGCCATGGATCGTCTGCTGGCGTCGAAGTCTCGAGGCAGTAACTGAATCATTCGCGTCACTCAGTGGCTTTGGACGACATGTGTGTAGTTACCTAACTACCATCACTGTGCTTTGGCGGATTAGTCGTGGAAAAGGCAGCTGCCATGGCAATAAACGTTGGCGTGTTATCTACCTATTAGTCTAGCCGACTGATAACAACAAAAATTCACCACCAAAACCACAAAAGTCACAAGGAAAACAAGCCTCGGCAAGGCCAAGCAATCACTAAAGACGTTGGAAAAGAGAAGGCAAAAAAGCTTCGCATTGCCAAGCCCGTGTCCAAGATCTTGGGTGTCTGTTGTTGTTCACATTTGTCGGCATGTCGTTAGCAAAGTCTAATATACATACAACGAATGCCCAGCCATCGGATCACAGTAGGTAATTGACGGGAATATGGTCGGAGTCGGACATGTTAAAAGACACAAGGTATGTAACCTGCATTGCAGAGGGATTCTCACAAACGAGATCTCCCTTCCCTATACTAGCACAACAGCGTCCTATTGCCTAGTGTAATGTGCTCACTCAATATGCTATTCCTATACAGTCCAGTCAATACTGGTTTGGCTGTTAATTCAAGATCTCGTGTCAACTTTCCGATGCGTTTTCATAGCTAATCAATGCGTTATTTCACCTTGAATACGCTATTTCTGATATTCAAAATGCCTTATCAGATCCTACTAATGCCTTTTATTATTCGTAACAGCCCTTTTGATTTGTCCTTGTGAGGTTTGGGACTATTCGGGATAGATTTCGTCTAGTGTACAGAGTATGGTACAGTGCCTATTTTAGTGTACCAAGCTAACAAATAAACTAGCATCGAACTCAAGCCAAAGAGCCAAGACATGCCTCAGTGGTACATACCGTTACTCTGCAGTAGCATTTTACGCTGCCGTCCCATGCAAGAAGACGAACAGAAGGAACAAAAGTCGCCCTCCGGTAAATCAAAATTACGGATGGCTTCTTGGCCACCGCAGTCGGCCACTTTAGAGTTGTATCGACCGTCGTGGAGAGACCGACCTGCCTCGTCGAGAAAGGTGCCATAAGCACGCCTTCACAGTGGTTGCCGATGCAGATGGTCCAATAAGCTTCATCAATTGCGCCCAGATAAGGCCCTTGGTCCTCAACTAGGCCGCCATTTGCTCTCCATGCCCTGGTCGACCTTCTGTCGTCCTTCCTGACCTGGCATCGCTTCTGGTAGCGCCCCCCGCATACCATCCCGGTCGCTTCTCTTCTTCCCTCCTCGTCTAAAGTGGGCTCTGATATTCGGGTCCCGAACATCGTCAATTTAGACGGATGATACCATGCCGTTCACTACGCGATGGACAAAATGCATATATACCTACCATGGTGCCGCCTCATCCTCCGCCCGCTCAAGACCTACGAGTGTAGCGCCGAGACGATCCCGCAGCCGTCAGTCTACTTCGCAGCTGCTTCGCTCTCAGACGGTGGTCTCCCCTCCCATTCTTTGACTTTCTCTCTCTGCCACAAGTGAGAAAGCCATCATTCATCATGGTTCGTCTTGGTTTGGCCACGACGCTCCTTGCGGCTGCGTCTTTTGCCCAAGCTGCCCACCAAAAGGCCCCCGCGGTCGTCCCCGGTGCCTATATCGTCGAGTACGAGGATAGCCATGTAAGTTTGGATAGACTTTCAAGGGAAAGGGATGCCTTATGCTAATCACATGTGCTTGATAGGATCCTACCTCCATCCTCGCCTCCATCAAGGGCGATGCCACCATCCGCAAGGATATTCGCCATGAGCTCTTCAAGGGTGCTTCCTTCCAGTTCAAAGACCTTAACAAGGCCGATGACCTTGCTAACAAGGTTGCTGCCATGTCTGGCGTCAAGGCCATGTACCCTGTCAGGCGCTACTCTCTTCCCGAGTATGCGGTTCACTCCACTGGTCGCGCCGTTCAGGAGGTTGTCGCCAAACGTGACACTGGCAACGACACCTTCACCCCCCATCTCATGACCCAGGTCAACAAATTCAGGGATTCCGGTATTACTGGCAAGGGCATCAAGATCGCCGTCATCGACACTGGTATCGACTATCTTCACCCTGCCCTCGGCGGCTGCTTCGGCCCCGGCTGTTTGGTCTCATACGGTACCGACTTGGTCGGGGATGACTTCAACGGCTCCAACACTCCCGTCCCTGATTCCGACCCTATGGACACATGTAATGGTCACGGCTCACACGTTTGTGGGGTGATATCAGCGAATACCAACAACCCCTATGGCATCATTGGTGCTGCCCCGGATGTGACCCTCGGTGCTTACCGTGTGTTCGGCTGCAGTGGTGATGTTGGTAACGACATCCTCATCGAGGCTTACCTCAAGGCCTACGATGATGGCAGTGACATTATTACCGCCTCCATCGGTGGTGCCTCTGGTTGGCCCGAGGACTCTTGGGCTGCTGTCGTCAGCAGGATCGTCGAGAAGGGTGTTCCGTGCCTTGTCTCTGCCGGAAACGATGGTGCTACGGGTATCTTCTACGCTTCTACTGCTGCCAACGGCAAGAAGGTTACCGCAGTCGCCTCTGTTGACAACATACTTGCCCCTGCTCTTCTCAGCGAGGCCTCTTACTCTGTCGCCAACAGCTCCCTTTCGACCTTTGGCTTCACCGCTGGTTCCCCCAGTGCCTGGGCCAATGTCAGCCTTCCTGTCTGGTCCGTCAATTTCAACACTGCCGATGCTGCCAACGGCTGCGAGGCTTTCCCCGATGACACCCCTGACCTCTCCAAGTACATCGTTCTCATCCGCCGTGGTACCTGTACCTTCGTCCAGAAGGCTCAAAACGCTGCTGCTAAGGGGGCCAAGTATATAATTTACTACAACAACGCCTCTGGATCTACCAAGGTCGACGTCAGCACTGTTGCGGGTGTCAAGGCTGCTGCTATGGTCACTTCCGAGACCGGTGCTGCTTGGATCAAGGCCCTTCAGGCCGGCACTCAGGTCACTGTCAACATGGCTGATCCTGAAACCGCCCCTAAGAACCTCAACAACTTCCCCAACACCGCTACCCCTGGTTTCCTCAGCACCTACACATCCTGGGGCCCGACCTATGAGGTTGATGTCAAGCCCCAGATCTCCTCTCCCGGCGGTATGATCCTTTCCACCTATCCCCGTGCTCTTGGCTCCTATGCTGTACTTTCTGGTACCTCCATGGCCTGCCCTCTTGCTGCTGCCACCTGGGCCCTCGTCATGCAGAAGCGTGGCACCAAGGACCCCAAGGTCCTCGAGAACCTTTTCTCCGCCACTGCCCACCCTAACCTCTTCAACGATGGTACCAAGACCTACCCCATGCTTGCCCCGGTTGCCCAGCAGGGTGCCGGTCTGATCCAGGCCTGGGACGCTGCCAACGCCAACGCCCTCCTCAGCGTCTCCAGCATCTCCTTCAACGACACTGAGCACTTCAAGCCCCTCCAGAGCTTCGAAGTTACCAACACTGGCAAGAAGGCCGTCACTTACCAGCTCGGACATACCAGCGCTGCTACCGCCTATACTTTCGCCAACGACACCTCTATCGGCCCTGCTGCCTTCCCCAACGAGCTGGTCGACGCTAAGGCTACCCTCGTCCTCACCCCCGCCAAGCTCACTCTGAACCCTGGCCAGAAGAAGACCGTCACCGTCCTCGCCATTCCCCCCTTGGGTCTCGATGCCAAGCGCCTGCCCGTCTACTCGGGCTACATCACCCTCAACGGCACCGACTCCACCGGCTACTCGCTCCCCTACCAGGGCGTCGTCGGCAGCATGCGCTCTGTCACCGTCCTTGACAAGCAGAACAGCTACCTCAGCCAATCCAGCGACGCCACCTACGCGCCCGTCGCTGCCGGCACCACCTTCACCCTGCCTCCCGCCGGCAAGGCCAACGACACCCTGTACGCCAACACTGTCTACCCGACCATCGTGCTTACCCTCAGCATGGGCTCCGCCGAGGTCCATGCCGACGTCGTCAACTCCAAGGGCAAGACCATCGGCCAGGTCCTCACCTTCCCGGCTCGCTGGAACCCCCGCGGTACTTTTGAGTGGAACTGGGATGGTGCCCTCTCTGATGGCACCTACGCCCCTGCTGACACCTACAAGATCACGCTTAAGGCGCTCAAGATCTACGGGAACAGCAAGTGGCCCCTGGACTGGGAGACTCAGACTACTGAGCCCTTCATGATTAAGTATGCTGCTAAGAGTAAGAGGGCTTTTACTGCCTGATCGGAGGCAGGAATATGATACCCCGAGATGCTGGATTGGATACGAAATAATGAGATGCATTTAATGTGGATGATTTAATAAAGTATATAACTTCCGGTATATTATTATCTATATATACAGTGGATATATATTATAATAATAAGCGGGCTTTGGCCTGATGCAGAGTTCCGATAGTGTGCTGTTTTGTGGCTCTTGACTATCTTGTGTGTTTCCTTGTAAGCTTGATGCTTGACGACGAAGGTCGAGGCTTCCCCGAATGGGGAGCCGCTTCCTTCCGTAGACGAGGTGCTCACGGGGAAACCCCGTATCAATTAGGCACTCCTGGTAGTACAATATACATTGTGCACTCGACGAGATTTATTCGGATTAGGATCAAAGCTCATAAGCACAGGTCAAAAGGCATTCGTAGGATTTGATATAGCATTTTGAATATTAGAAACAGCGTATCCAAGGTAAGATTATGCATTAATTAGCTATGAAAATGTATAGGAAAGTTGACATAAGGTCCCGAGCTAATAAATAAACCAGTACCAGACTGTACAACATATCCTGAAAATTTACTATTAAGTCTTCCGTTTACCTTTATATACCTCATCTCAGTCTCTTCACTCCCTACCTAGACATCTATCTTTCAGACTGTTTGTCGCCTGTCATCCGATGCCATCATCCCGATAATCCCTCCAAACAAAAAAATGAACCCATGTCTATGTCCAAGGGGATGGGATGAAATAATCCCGATCTGCCGAACAATTGCGGGACGCCCCGCAAAATGTGCAGCGCCGCCTAGGTGCAGCGGGACGACCCACTGAGCTGACAGTGGACAGCGGGCGCCGCATAGCATCCCGTCTGACTGCTGCGCCCTGTCATCCCGTGTTTTCCCCTGAAGGGAATGATCCCTTTTCCCTGCCTATCTCGTCCGAGACAAAATGGTTAAAAAGACCTTTGACATTGAATGACCTTCTTACGGCTCTCAATGACATGATGTCCCGCAAGTAAACCCCGGCAGGGACCAACCCATCATCCTCCCAGGCGTCGGGATCGGCGAGTCACGGTCTCACCCGCTAACTACTGATGTCTTGGGATACATGCTGAACTAAATGCTTAGGGTGGGTTTTTGGGACCTGGATAGACTGGCCCTCGGCTCAAGTTGTATGGACGGTGTGAGCCATATCTCACCTTGCGTTCCTGCAGATTGGAAGTTGCCGGCGGCATATGGAGATTGCCGACACGGCAGGCTCAGTGGGTTGTCTCTCGGCTTTTGGAGAAGTCTCAGCCAATCAAAGGTGCCTTAAGATTGATGACCGAGCCGGGAGCAAGAAGCTCTCCGCAGGTTGCCGTCGTTGGATGAACTTCATTGATCGAGACGAACACTACCGTGGTGGCTCCAGATTGACACTCCCGTCATCCCATCTCAGCATCGCATCATCATTCTGAACAAACCATTCAGATCCAACAGTCAAACACAACATTTGTGACTACACAAGGTACGTCTTCCACTCGACCGCGCCGGGTCGCCTGCGAAGACTTAAACTGACTATTGCCGTCACAGACTCGAGCCGCCAACTACTGCTCCCTGTTGAATTGCCTACCATATCTACGCAACGTCCCCGTCACTATGATTTGCAGAGCCTGCCTTCGTGCCAGCAGAGCTGGCCTCCGCTCCGAGGCTTCCCAAAGACTCGCCTCTTTCCAGACGCCAAGCAGGGCTCTCTCTTCGCTGGCTTCTATACGCCTCTCTGCATCTGCCACATACTCTACCTCTGCTCTTCTTCAACAGCGCGCCATTCAGATTCCGGCTCGCCTTGCCTCGAGGACATACTCTACCGCAGCTTCGGAACAGCCTGCGAGCGCTGTCCCGGAAAAGCCGGAAGACCTGGACGAGGGAGAGGCCCAGGTTTGGGACATCTTGGTCCGCGAGTTTGCGCCCACCAACCTCGTCGTGCGAGACATCTCGGGAGGCTGCGGCTCCATGTATGGCGTCGACATCTGCTCCGAGAAGTTCCGTGGCCTCAACATGCTCAAGCAGCAACGTCTGGTCAACGCCGCTCTCGGTGACCTGGTCAAGCAATGGCATGGCATCCAGATCAAGACCAGCGTGCCTTGAAGAAAAGAATCATGGAGGAAAGTAAGAGAAAGATGATTTTGTATTTTTCACTGCCATGTACACCACTCGATACCCAAGGAACAACCGCATCAAAGCTCTTGAATGGCCGCAGTGCCTTACCACCAGGACAAACTCTCATCTGATGCGAAACTCGAAAATGCCACCATGCCCATATCATCGTGCACGATTCCTCATGACAAATCCGACGTTTCCTCATTCTCCATATCGATGTCCATGGTACCCCAGTCCACTGCCGGAACCGACCTGGGATCAGGTCCCTTGTTGAATAGTGGCTGTCTAGGTCAACCCCGCTCGGTCAGTCAAGATACCCAACCCCCAGACCCAAAGCAGAAAAGAAAAGAAAAAGAAAAAGAATAGACCACGCCATTCAAATGATGGACGAAGGAAAAATGAAGGTTTGACAAGAGTGGGATTCGAACCCACGCCCTTTCGGACTACGGATATGAGATTTAACTCAGATTAAAGGTTAACCTTAACGTAGCGCCTTAGACCGCTCGGCCATCTTGCCTATTGATGGAAAAACTACCCAATTCTGGTGTTGACATACCTCGTTGCGGGTATTCTACGCTTTCACTACGGCGGCGGATATTAACCCATGAAGGTCCCCGATGAATAACCATGCAATGCGTCGTGGCTTCACCGAAGAGCATTATGTCGATCTATATACAGTTCGAGAGAAGATGAAGAGATGTCCTTACAATCGTAGCAGGTGTGCACAGTCTAATGCTGTTCTGTTTCTTTGCAAGATACCAGTCTTCCAAGGAACCAAAACCACTAAACCGTCCTCAAAGTATCAAGATACCTGTATACATCGAACCCTCGTCTATCTACTCATTCATACGACCTTATGTACCGTCTTTTTCCACACTGGTTTGTTTGTGTGTTCAGGATCTTGGGTTAACTTCCCTAGGCGTCATAATATCTCGATACGCGTTTCGTCCATGACTGAAGCCGGATCAATCTTGACTACCTAGGTATGCTTGTTCCGATGCTGAATATGTTATGTTAAATCCTTTGATGCATTTCCAATCAGTACTCAAGCGTTTTCTATGAGTGCTAAAGAAATTTAGTTTAATGCATCCTTATAAAGTTTGGGATAGTTGGGATACCGCTAGGTTTCGTCCAAAACACCAGGAGTATCCAGCTAACAGACAACCCAGTATAAGATTGTATCTTCCGCCTGCACTGGTAATTTCTGTACCTGTGGGGTGTCATTCGTATCTCGATTCTCCTATGCCTCAGTCCCATCCTCGGAACTACCGCAAAAAAGGCCCATGGTATCAATCCGCCGGACAACTCTGTACCACCTCTAGATATACATTCGAACTAGTCTCGTCCTCCTCATCAGACTTCACCCGGAGCTTGACCATATCAAAGTCTCCCAAGACCGATTCTTCCATCTCCCTCTCAACTAACATTCTCGGCAGGTTTCCAATTGCTTTGGGGTCTTCATCAATCAATCACGTACAGTCCAATGCCGAATGACCTGTTAATTATATTTCGTGTCGAATTGAACGGTGGGAGCGAAGACAAAACCTTAAGGCTTAGAAGAATGGTAATGAACTTATGTTGGTTGACGGAGCAAGAAGGAAGGACAAGAAAAGGGTAGGAGAACCTTTGATCCATAGAACATACAGGAGTGATCCACGTGCAGGTCGACCAAAATGTCGGCCAAGGTAATCAACTTGCTCGACCAAGAGTCGAATGGGTGAGTTGATAGTTGGTTCAAGGTAATCGCCAAACAAACGGAAATACGAGACGAACTATGCTACAGAACACAGCGGACGCATTAACGGTCGGCACCATGATGACTATCGATACCTACCTGCCGGATGAAACCTGCTTTATTCGTCCCATGAGGGCAAGAGGGGGAGGATCCGGATCCAACTGGAGGAAATCTTCCAGACGAAATCAGCACCTCTCTTTTGCTAACGATGCTGCCTTGGAGGTACTGCGAGGTCCAGTTACGAAAAGGCGGGGAGTCGACCGAGGAAGCCGCAACACCCACCCACCCCAAGTGAGGAAGGTTCCATGTATTGAACTTGGGTACACAGTACACTCTTTGGACGACTAACGCTTGTTCTGAACGTGCCTGTTAATCTGGAAGGTGCGTATGGGTCAGGGTCAGGATCAGAAGTCGGCTCCGTAGTGTCCTATCGGATGAGATGGATCTGTAATGAGGAGTAGATTTAGAAATTTGAATTCTTATGCTAATAGTTTTACCAGTAAGCCAATTCGCCAGCCAAAAGATCATTGCAGCAAGTCACAAGTCGAAAGAGGAGGGATATTTTTTCAAACAACCAAGTTCTTTTGTTCAGCTAGCTACCTCTATTAAAGACAATTATTGACTACTCTCTACGTTCAGAGCAAAGGACCCCCCAATGATTTATATGCAAGAACTCCTCCCGATCTATACCCTTGGCTACCTCTATGCGACTCTATTCCCCTCGACTCCTCTTCCCCTTCTCTCACTCCCCACTCTTATCCTCTTCCTCTTCCTCCTCTTTTTTTGTCCACTGCTTTTCTATGTTTTGTCTGACTCCCCCGACACTCCACTCCTCTCCACTCCTTTTCCTACTCCTACTCCTACTCTTCCCACTCATCCTTCTCCTTCTCATTCCTCCACTTCTACTCGTACTACTCATCCGCCTATCATCTGAGCATCGCACTCTTGAATCTAAAACCGGGCAGGTTAAAGAATTTAGAGGACGATCTTGAGGGTGGCGCTAAGGAAGCCGACAAGGCCACCAGCGAGGAGGTTGACGGCGTGAGCGCGGGCCTGGATCTGGGCAACGAGCTGAGGAGCCTCAATCTGGAGGCCGACAACAGCGCGGAGGGCAAAGTTGACAATGGGAGTAGCAATGGGGAGGAGGAGGCCAGAGACGAGGTTGAGCTCAGCACCGATGACCTTGAGGACGTCGTGGCTGACGGTGGCGACGAGGTGCTTGAGGCAGTTCTCGACCTGGCTGAGGAGGATCTCGACATCGGCAATGAGGTCAAGGACGATCTGGAGCTCACCAGCGACGAGGCCGACCTCGGGGCGGATGAGGGCGGTGATCTGGGGAACGACACCGGTGACGACGGTGTGGAGGTGGCCCTGGAGGCTGACGAGGGCCTCGAGGAGGAGCTGGGCGTCGACGCCAGCCTTGACCTCGAGGAGCTCAAGGATGTGGGCGATGTCGGCCTTGACGAGGACGTCGATGTTGAGGACGATGGTGGTGACCTCCTTGACGATGACGACAGGGGCCTTGCCGTTGATGGCACCGGCATCAGCGCCGCCAGTGGAAGGGACGGAGGGAACACCGGTGGGGACGGCCAAGCCGGAGGTGAGGTACTGGGTCTTGGAGTCGGAGACAGTGGTGGCCCAGGTCTGGTAGAGGGTGGTGGCGGAGGTCAAGGTCTGGACGGGGGCGGGGACCAAGTTATCGCCGTTGATGGGGGAGGCAAGTCCGGAGGGGACAGCGGCGCCGGAGGGAAGAGCGGCGCCGGAGGGGAGAGCAGCACCGGAGGGGAGAGCGGCACCGGAGGGAAGGCCGTTGATGCCGGAGGGGGCAGCGCCCTGACCACCGCAGGCAGAGCCGAGGATGGGAGAGGCAAGAGCGGAGCCAATGGTGGCGGCGGAGAGAGCAGCGCTGAAGAACTTCATGTTTGCGGTTGTTGGTGGTTGGTGATTGAAAAGAATGGATCTAAAGAATGTAAGAGTAGTTGGATGTTGGTATTAAAGAATGACTGGTGTGTATTAGGTATTAGTTGTAGTAGTGAAGGAGTGTTGTGAGTGTGTGATGATGAGAGAGAAGAAACCGGTTGATGGAGGAAGATGAGCTCGAGTTATATACAAGTTTGTCGTCGATTCTGACCTCCTCATCTCACCCCCATGTCGGCGATATTGTCTGTGCGAGTTGTTCGCCATCAACCTTAGCGTCATAGCGATAGGCGGTGTCTCCTTTCTCTCCCCTTCGGCCAATCTCGCTGGATTGGTGAAGTTGGACAAGCCGTCGGTGGCAGCTACGGTGAATTTGGTGGAGGGGCGTAAACGGTGAACGCTTTCTCCACGGCCACGACACTTGGGAACAAGGATTTCGAAGCTTTGAACCACCCAGCTGGTGCCGCAGATCTCAATGAGCCTGGTGTCAAGGCCTGTCAACGACTGAGAGTCTCCGCAAAAAATTCAGCTGTAGCGTCTTAAAGCTGGCACGGGGACTAGGCGAGGCTAGGAGAGACTCCATCACAGCTTCATTCAAAGGTGCCATGTGAATGCACTAAGGACTTGGCAGGCTCATCCATGATAAGACTGATGAGGCCTTTGCGTGTACTCGTGACGACGGGCCTGACAGGATCAATAAGAGGGGAAAATCCATGGCGGTGGTGTTTTGATATTCCAGTTAGTAATGTTCACCAGCGCGGTAAACTTCGATCTAGCGTTGGTGCAATCGACATGATTCCATTCCCAGCACGTTTTCTTCAACACTGAGACAATACCTTATTGTGCAGATCAGGGACTGCGAATGCAAGATGAAGCAGTGGAATTGAGACATTGGGTTGCAGATGCCACAATGGATCTTAGTTAGGGACGTGCCGTTCAGGGGTTGTTTTTCCTGAAGAAACCAACAACGGCATTTTGGTAGGTTCCATTGATCGACGTCGTCCGCTCAGGGGTTCCATCCAGATTCCCGACTCCGCGGCGTCGATCACTTCCCATTGCGCCATTCTAGCCTCAACTCACCGTCGTCACCGCCGTGCACCTGTTGCCCCGACTCTACCGACTTTTTGAAAGCCTCTTTCGCTTGTGAGTGCCGTAGAATTGCTCCAACTATTTTGATATCACCAGGATAAATAGTGGCAAGGGGACGCCTGCTAGATCGTTCAATAAGGACCGTTGCATTCTCTCATTTCTCCGCAATGTGCAAGCGACAAGGCGTCTGTGGAGAACTCCAGATGATGGCAGGCTTCCCAAATTGCCCAATCGTTTAGTTTTGACCAGGGTCGCAGATCGTCTCTTGTTCATTCCTCTTATGAAGGCATCACAGGTGTTAGTATCTTTGTTCGTAAGATGAAAGGGCGAAGTGGCTCAACGGCAATATGGACACAAGGTTTATTGCCGTCTCTAAGAGCAATCTCATAAACAGACTTGTAGAGCTGAAGTGATGTCGGTTTCAAGGCTGTTGATCTTCTTCAAGCTAAGCAAAGTAAAGATCCCTGAAAGTACACTAACAATTCAGGCACCAGTCCAATCCTTAAAAAAGCGTTTGTTTTGGAGTGAGACTTGACTTGGACTTTCTTTTGACAAGGGAGAGGATAACCAAGACCAGTGAACGAGTGATTCTCGCACAGATGCACCATAATATTATGCCATGTATACACGCTGTTACGCTAGGACTCTGGAAATAGCCAACCTGAAGGTGGTCAAAGAGCCTTCAGCATGTACCACGCTAACGAACAATATTAATTAAGGGGTAAACTTGATATATGGGGGGGGCCGCTCAAAGGATCTGCACTTGGTGGAGTTCTTGCACTTGGTGTACTGACACCTCACTTACAGAAAATCCGGGTTCCCAGGCCGCGGAAAAGGTTGCACTCAGGGAGGCAGGGAGGCTTGCACTTGCAGGGACATTTGCTGTACACTCCACGTGTGGCGGAGACAGGTGGGCGGTAGTATTGCTCCGTGAACCCCGACCATCTTCACTCAAAGGCTAGGAACAAGCCAAGAACACTGAGCTTCTGAAGATTCTCCACCGACTTGGACACAACGACAACAGCAACAACAAGACGCCATCACGTTCACCAATTATCTTACACGGCCAAGACTCAGCTCAACGGTAGCGTGGCCATGGCCTAGTCTAGCGTAGTGTATCTGGGAGATATATTCATCCTGGCAGACGTGGAAAAGGAGGCGTCCGGGGGGGAAGGGGGCGAGAACTCGCAGAAACTATCGCGACGGTGCTGCCGGATGCAATTCGTTCCGGCATTGAGGGTGCCGGCCGAAGTCGTGTATATTGAAGTGACTTGCAACGGACCGGCGCGAGCCGTCAAGGTCACGGTCCAGACATCACGGGATAGGGTTTGCGATGTCCTAGATCGATATGTCTTCATGTTTTCTGCCATGCCTGTGATGTGGCGCAGCGTTGCATGTCCAACCGCCAGCTACACGTAGTTGTGGGGACTGTTTGTCAGTAGTAGGAAGGTCAGCTCCGCTATGTCTGGCGCAGAGCATTTGTCGGTACGAAGTAAGGTTCTGGATACGATGATGGGTTGGATAGACGGGACACAATGATGCGACGTTGTTGTCTGGAGAAAGTTGTCGGAAGTGGGATGAAATGGGCGAGCTGCACGGCGGCTCACTTGCAATACACAACGTGTAGCGCTGACATACAGTTCATCGCTGCTATAAATCCAACATATGTTTCAAAAAAAACATCAATCACAAGCGCCAGTGGTTTAGTGGTAAAATCCATCGTTGCCATCGATGGGCCCCGCGTTCGATTCGCGGCTGGCGCATATCTTTTTCTCTTTTTTTTGGTTTCTTTTTTGGATATCGTGACAGTGAGATAAAATAAAAGGCTGTTAATATTCCAGCATAGCACTTTTGTTTGGACAATCAGTTCAATGTTTTGTGTTGTTCTTCCCATGCCCGTGGTAGAGATAGAACTTGGGAAATATTCGCATTGTTTGGTTTTCTTTTCTTTCGTTGAACATTAAGTTGATGCATGGAAACACTGTTTTCAAATCTTGAGCAAGTTAGCATGTCAATGTCTACATCACTTTCAGTGTTCCTGTGGTTCATTTTCCCCCGTGTCCGTGATAGCCTGGATCAACGAGTTGAACTGATCTTGATGGCTTCAGTTATTGTTCTCGCCATATTGTCAACATCACGGAAGTCTTCCGAAAAGTGGCTGTCTATCTCATCGTCATCGCGTTCCTTCGCCTTTCATTCAAGCACCTGATTGTTGCCTTCTTCCAAACACATAAGTCTATCTATCAGATTACCTTTTTAATTGTGCCATTGAACGTTATGTCATGAGCTTCCCCGTTGCGAAGACCAATGCAGTTTCGCCCATGAGCAATATCGCATAGGTACCTGGAAGCTCACATCTCACTAACAGATAAGATCCTGTTTCGGCTTTATCATGGATTGTGCTGATAGTGACAAGTTAGCGAAAAGTAGCCCCGAGGTCAACGATGACATTCATTGGCCAATGCCCACCTATGTGTTGATGAATACACTATGTACATTACAGGCATGCTTGAGTTGAAATTAGCTCGGCACTACTTCGACGTCAGTGCAAAACAAGATTTGTATATTAGCCCTGTGTAGATTACACTAATAGTATGACGAATGATTGATCGCAACTCTTATCCATCTCGCGAATAACCCTCGGTTTGTCTGAGAAGCCATCCCCAAGTCTTGGTGTTTCTTGGCAACCCTCTCGAAAAATGAGTGGAGATGACGATCTGCACCCCCTGTCGCCTTATCGATAAATATCATGATACGCACTGACCTCTGATTTGCGCACGGACTTTTCCTTCTCACCGTGGTTCAACTCATCAACGGTTGCCTCCTCTTTGCTTCTTTCCCTTTTCCCAGAGACTGAGGAGGAAGTCGACGTTAAAAATAACAACAACTACTATCACTTAGGTTCCCCTTGTGTAATCTCGACTTACCATCGTGACCTTTTCTCTCATAGACATCCTTGCGACTACTCTCTTCGAGTCCGGCATCGCAATGGTCATGTTTCCCGACGCTCCGTGAGAAACAAGTTCATCTCCGCGACCGCCGTCAAAAAGCTTCTGTGAAGCATTCATCGTTGTCTGTCCGCAGTCTCAATCCACTTGGATCTCGATTCCAATTCCAACCCGTCTAGAAGAAAAGGGAAGCGCGGATGACCGACACACGGACAGTGGTGGTGTGCCGGCAATCGCCAGTCGGTGGTGCGTTTTCCTTGCCCAGCAGTGCCCGGGTCGTGCCATAGGGGGACCATATGATAGTGTGATTGCTACCTCTTGGCGAACCTACTCATGGTCCATCGACCATCGGGCTCAGTCGGAAACTTGAGGGTCCAGCCAACCGTTATTGCCCGTCATATCATGGCCAAAGAATGCTCATCCAACAAATGGACCAAAAACTGCTGATGTCTTCCAAAAGAACCGTTTGAAGCATTCGGATCTTGTGTTTCTGACGATCTGACTGCTACGCTTTCTTCGGATGGTTTGCTTCCTCCCTGTAACGACCCTGTGAGTGTGGGCTAAACCGAACGATGGCCGTAGCCGCCCGCCGGCGGTGGCCACGACTTGAATTGACAATGTTTACACATGAGAGGGCAGATGTATTTGAGAAGATAATTCCCCTTCGTTTGCAATGGGAAAACTACCTCTTCTGTCCATCATCCATACAGTGACATAACTACACCGGCCATTTGTGCCAATAGACACCATCACAATCAACACACACGCAAAAACCGACGCTACAGTTAAGAATAACTACCTAACAGAGCTTCCACTCGGTTGCCAAGACAAACGGTATCTACCTCTATTTGCATCAACCTCACGCATCATTCATCAAGGCCGTTGAAAGAACAAACGGGTATCAAAATCGATCCCGAGCAAAAGACAATTCAAGGAAGGTATGTGTAAAGCTCAAACCTCCCGTCCAACCCATCATGATCAACCACTAACACCCATCTCAGTTTCTTCCCACCTTCCCAACCGACTACAATACCAAAACACCAAACAGTACCTTCAATGGAAGACCAAGTCTACTACCACATGATGATGTCCGACCTCGAGCGTCGCAAGCGGACTCAGAACCATCATACACCCGAGATTTCCCCCCCTACCCATCCTCCCCGACAACAACAGCAACAACAACGACAACAACAGCAACAACCGCACCACTGGCATCATCCCTCTTACTTTGATCTGTACCACCACCAACACCACGAGGACGACCACCACACTCTTCTTCTTCAGAAAACCGGAACAACAACACGAAGATTGGGGACGACAACAGCTATTTCTTCGGCTGCTTCGTCGCCTACTTCGGAGACTAGGCCATCGAGTCCATTGCTGTCGGGGTTGAGGAGTGCGGTTCTGGCGGGGTTGGATGTTTTGCATTTGAATCATCCTTATCCTCACGGAAGTGATGGGAATGGGAGTGGTATTGAGAGCAGGAGGAACTCGTCGGGGAGTCAAGGCGGGCATTGATTGGTTGATGATGGGTAAGAGAGAAGGAGAAGGAGGATGGATGATTTCACGATTTGACTTTTTTTTTTTTTTTTTTTTTGCTTAATTTTTGTCAAAAGGAGTTCAGGGGAGGGAGTATTAGGAGTCTGGTCTTGATGGGAAAGGAAGGTAAACTGTTTTCTTTTACTGGATAGAAGAAGAGTATAATACCCGACCAGCAGGTCAAAATTTCGAAAGCTTCAGTCTCACACACACATACATACATGAGAAGGGCACTGTTATCCTCATCGAATAAACCTCCCAGTCCCAGACCAATCTTCAGTGACACTGCTACGCGACTCTGTCCCTTCTCGTGCTCGGCGTTACGTCCCCCGCTATGTATTATAACCTCTGCTCGATATTCAGCTTCCCCATATTCTGTCGGAGGGTTGCCTGCTGGGCTGTCGCCGTGGGTTTCATCATGACGTTGCTTCTCGGCTTTGTACTTCCCTCAAGAATCAGGAAACAATACAGACATCCCACTGGCTAGGATGATGAAGCTTTTCGGTTTGCCGCTTGACTCGCATCACCAATCCATAAGCGGTCGTGACTTTTTATGCCACCCGGTCCAAGAGCAGCAAAACTGGCACATGTGCCCAATTCCCGGGGCAATATGCACGCGGCTCTTGGCCCTCGTCTCGCCCAGTCAGAACGCGGCTGGCTTGGTGATGTTAGTGGCTGACACTGTTGTCTCTGAGGTTATCGAAAAGCTCGCTTCAGGAACAGGAGGATGATGGAGAGCTCGCCTGTTATTTCCTCCTGCGGCGTTCAGTGCACGACTCCTTGATACCTTTTCGTCGGGTAACATTGCCATTGATGGACCGGAAGATCATCTTGACTAATATATTCAATGGATTGAAATGCGGAGAATCAGATGATAACACCGAGCGCATCACTAGATCATAATGTTTAACGGCGGAACTCAAGCCAATGACCGGTCTTTCTCGGACAGCCAAATATACGTACCTTTGTTAACGAAGGGCCCCGTTCTTCTCACGAACGAAATGTCCTGGTGTGGTATGAGCTGATTGATTTTCGTTCAGCTGTAGGGCAGTAGAAACGTAACGAAGTGGAGAGACCTACATATCGAATCTCGGCCCTGGAGTATGCGTGCACTGATTAGGCTTTTTTTTCCCTTTCCCATTAGGCAATAAAGCACGGAATAAACCGAAAAGATATCGGAATCAGCGAAGATCCATCCTTTAGAAAAGAGGCTTGGATGGTCTGGACACCAAGAAGGTGATTGCGAAACTGTACTATTGAGGTGTTGATTAGAACTCGTAGCTTTGTTCTGCATAACGCAGTTCATTGTCGAACAAGTCATGGTTAAATGTCCAGGACGGAGAAATCATGGGTGCGGCCCGGACCGAACTCGAGAGCATCGACCAACGACCATGGGAATTTCGTTCGGTTGTGACAAAGCTTGTTGGGGGTGGAGGCTTTGACCTCGACCGCATTGCCGGAAGTGAAAACGTCTACACGAGTCCATGAGACTCCTACTATCCATGGCTGTTGCGAGTGAAGTGGCCATGTGGTTGGGCAACTGGCTCGATACTGAGTACCTGAGAAAGCATTCATCGGGCATCTTATTTTATAACCAAAAACCGAAAAAAAAAATAACAGAGGATGAAGAGAAATAACTTACCGTAAATATGGCTTGGGGTTGATCCTATCGTCATGTGAGAGATTTCTCCGTGCCCGGACGCCTTGTAGGTCCACAGCTGCTGTCAGCGGTAGATCACCATAATATGCGTTATTCCCATCCTTTCGTGGCTTTGCGCGACACTGCACATTGAATAGCGTAGGAAGTAATGTATTGGTCACATAAAAGATATGGGCCCTATGAAGATTTTCTCGACTCTTCGTGCAGATGGTGCTGCTAATCTACCGAATATTCGAGAACCAGATCCTCGAAAGGATCATGGGTCATCAACTTAAACATAACTTGTCGCGTACGAGCTCCTCCACAGTCTTCTTCCTCATGTGTCATGAGGATGCTCTTGCTGTCCGGAAAGCAGGGGAGGCAGGGTTTGTTCTCCTGTATCCGTAGTTGCTTTAGAATGGGATCAAAGGGCCAAAGCAACGAGGAAAGCAACAACAATGCCTCTGACAACCCTGTCGACGGTTGTTAGCCACATAATGGAACGAAAGTAGCTTTAAGAAGAAAGAGTGCAGTGAAGACCTGGCTAAGCACATACCCACCAACAAGACCATGAGTCTCGGAGACTGCAGCGCTTTTGGCATTTCCAGCAGTGTCCACAGGCTTGCCGTCATGAGCAGTGTTGCTTTCCTGGGCACCCACATCTGTGCCGGTAGGGTCGATCAAGGTGGCAGAGGTGGAATTGTCTAGCGGCCATGTGGTGTTGGTGAAGTTTCCGAAGGAAGTTCCGTTCGCGGTAAGAGAGGGAAATGCAGAAGGAGCCGAAGTAGTGAGGCCACTGCTGGTAGCCGCTCCGTTGATAGATTCGCTGCTGGAGATTGCTGCGGTGCTGCTTTGCTCAGCATCGGGTGAGATCACGATCGTTGCAAGCGCAGAGTTGGGCTCGCTGCCGAAGACAGTGACAGTTGAAAGGGCGACGGTGGTCACGGCAACCTGGGCATTGGGAGAATTGGCCAAGTCGACCGGAACGGTGACCGTCTTGTACACGGTCGGCTGCTGGGCGATGTTTTGGGCTTGGGCGACAGCGCCTGGAGCATCAGCAAGCAGCATGAGCATGCCGGGAACCAGTGGCACGATGGCGAGCATCTTGAGGCGTCTTGATAGCGTGTTTGCTGAATCAACCGATGTTGTGGTGGGAGATGTAGATGATGCAAGCTGCAAGGAGCAAGAAACCAAGGAGACCAAGGATCTGGGAGAACAAGAAGGTCAATGATCTGAGTGTGTCAGGATGTGTGGAATGGCGGGAGGAGAGACGACGGAATGACTCTGAACTTGAAGTTGACGGGGAAATCTCCGGCACTGGTTGTGGAGTAATGGACACTGGAGGACTTGGAAGGCAATGACACAAGATGCAATTGGTTCCTTCATTCGACTTTCTGGTGCTTCCTCTTACGTGGGAAGGTCATCCTGAGGAAAGCGCTGCTCCTTCGCGAAGCGTAATCAGTCCTCGTTCATTTGTCAAGATTGTGAGCGCCTTCCCCCGGTGATGAAAATGTAGCAGACACCAGTGTCGAAAGGAAGGTGCGTTCCCTCTTGGCTCGCAAAACTACCTAAGCAAGACCTGTACCGATCAGCTCAGACATGGGATGCAACTGCCGCCCGTGATAGAAACCCTTATGGTTCTTGCTTTATCTTTGGGGTGCTGCAATTGTTGAGATGATGGTTGCGATGGGCCTTCGATTATAACCCACCGCCCCTGTGATTTTGATCACCGGATTCTTCCGTATAAGAAGGTACTGTATGCAAGGTGGGAAGTTCGATTGCCGGCGTGGAAGGTACGATGGTCAGTCATGCAAACACCTTCCACGTCCGGGCTGCATGCAGTGGGCTGATGAACTGCCCCAAGAGGGAAAAAAAACAAAAAAACAAAAAAAGGTCACCAAGCCAAGAGCATATCATAGAGTCCAACAAAGCCTTCAGACCGAATAAATTACATTGCGCTACGGATCGCCGTATGTTCCGTTGTTCGCTCAACCATCTTTGAGGCGCTCCATTATGCCTCATCGACTCGACGAGCTGTACAGCCTCCCCTCTTCTTAAGAACATGACCATAGCCTGTATGTGTGCGTGGGTATCATGATGAAGTCGCAGAGCATAAAGACATTTGCCAAAAAAACATGCATGCATATTAAATTCCCATTCCATGCCCAGAACGCCGAACAGAGTGATAGAAATCAAGGTTAGGGACAAGGAAAGGGCAAAAGGAAAACCAAAGAAGAACAGCCTGCAAAACATTGATGCGATGATGTCGATGAAAGAACCCCCGAGCAGATGCTGAAAGTGGAGATGGCCGCGCACCCAACTAACAAAACTCCAAGTACTAGATGACGCACTCCTTCTTTCCCTTCTGAGAAGATGGGCTGCCTTGTCCAACCCGTTCTTTAGTTCCATGGGATGACATAAAAAAAGTCCATAGAATCCTGTAGAGACGGAAAACAAAAAGAGGAATGTATGGAAAAGGAGAGACCGTACTGAAATCACAAATAGGTGTCAGACCGATGTCGCTTGAACAGACGATCTTCCCTGCTCGGACGCCGTGAGTGCCGTGTCTCTAGAGGTAATTTGACCTTGTTGTGATGCGCCCCCTCCCCCGAATCCCGATGACAATAAACGAGGGCTTCGATTAGTAGGGTACGTGGAGTGATGCGATGATACGGGAGGCTCCATTGGCGTGGGAAGAGACGTGGGAGTTTGCGGTTGCTGCTGCGGTTGCTGCTGCTGCTGCTGTTGTTGCTGCTGTTGGTGCTCCCTACCTGGTACAGTACCCGGCCAGCTCGAACTGTGATCACCTACCAGCCGGTGACCCATCTCCGATGAGGAGGACGTCATATGGAGAGTTCGGGGTACACTCTCGGGATGGAGCAACGAATGCTGCCCACTCTTGCTTGCCGCCACCGGATCGTAGGGACTCGCGACCGGTGAGTACCGGTACGATGAGTTGTAACCATGATAACCAGCGCTGAGGGGACTGAGTGGCTGAGACGTAGCAACAACAGTCCTCGGCGACGGAGCAATAGGTGCCGGCGCAATCGGCTGATTGGGTTGTGGCATGTTTTGACGGGCTCGACTCTCATCTTTCTTGGGACGACCCCGTTTGCGACCGGTGGGTGCCGCGCTCAACGTTGAGGTCGAGGCAGGGACCCCTGGCGAGGGGAGACCGTTGGGCCGTGGCTGGATGTTCACAGGCTGGACTATTGGGGCGGGAAATGGTTGATGGCCATATGGTCGCATGGGCGAAAAGAGCGGTCTTTCCTCGGCAGGGCCAACTGCCCGCCTCTTTGCATAATGATCCTCCGAGTCATCGACCGAGTTCCGTTTCCGCGGTGACAAGATCGGTTTTTGAAAGGACGGCCTGCTCACCATGGAGTTATAAGCCTGAATGCATTGATTCACGGTCCTCCCTGCATATTCCAAGTTAGAGGCTGCAGTGCATATCTTGGGCCATAAAAGAATCCTTAACTCACCTCGAGGAATCTGAATCGAGTGCCAGTCTGGTTGATGGATGTTATGCTGCTTGATAAACTCTATCATGTCGTCCACATTGACGCTAACTTTGATGATTTCCCCTAAGAGGAAGCGCTGCGCGAGAAGAGACATGGGTAAGCGAGAGGCGGGGGCGGGGGAATAGGAGCCAACTTGAAAATGGAAGTGTTCATACCTTTTCTTCCTCATCAAACGACGACTCCATCTTGGAGGTTTGGTCCCTGGAGTCTGCCGTCGACGGGAGGGAGGAAAAAACGAAGGTCAAAAAGAGAAATGGCCGAATGATATCTAGTCATTTGTCAAGGGCCAAGTATGACTTGTTATTCGTCGGGCGGGCAATAGGCCGGGGGTGACGCTCGTGATCGCAGAAGACGGGGCAGAGTCGCAGTGGCGAAGCGGCCTCATTCATATACGAATAGGGAGAATTGGTGCTTGCGGCAGTCAAGCTGAGAAGTTGCTTGGAGCTGGTGGTGCTTGATGTTATACCCGACTGCTGCTTCCTGCTTGATAGTGGAGGCAGGCTTGTGGGTATGTAGGTAGGTAGTGGTGCTTGCCCTGTTGCAACAACAACCTGCTTGCTCCCACTCAACTGCGCGCGCGCCGCCTGCAGGGAATCCAGGATAAGGACGGACGGGAATGGGGACGGCAGGGGTCAATGTACTAGGCAAGATATGAAACGAAGGTCGACGATAGTCAGAGTCGAGATATGTATGAGGTGCGGATTGCAGTTAGTAGTGCCAGAAGGCGTTAATCCATCATGTTCATGACCGTGGGGTCACGAAAGCCAGGGGGTGGGTGAAGCGAGCGAACGGATCCCCAAGTCCAAGACACTCTCGCCAGACCGGGAGATGAGTGGAGGACGGTAGCCTGGAATCGAGCAGGGCAGGCGGCAAAGAGACGCGAGCAGTACAGTGGGAAGCGCGCGTCTTCCCGTTCGTTGGCCTGCGGAGTTTCGATCTAGCTACCGTCGAGGAGGCGACGGCGGGCGAGTAATTATTGTTGGCCGGGGATGAGTGGCAGACGATGTTGCTGTTTCGGTCAATGTTCCACTATTGCACTGTCGCACCGGGGGTGGTGGGCGTCCCGGTTTCCAAATGTTGGTGTTAGTGAGTGCTCCACTGTCGAAATGATCCCGGTCCGGTTGTCCAGGCGCAGTGGACGGGATGGATCGATGGGACTTGGGGACTGAGGTCAAGTCGGCGACAGCGACAAGAATGACAACAATAACAACAACAACACCCTGGATTTGTTCACCTGGCTGGTCTCGCCGTCCAGCTTTCCACTCCTTGTCCAGCCGGCGTGTGTTGCAGGGGTGGCCTGTCAAGGTCAACGGTTCTGTAACAAATTCGACTTTTGTTTTTTTTTCTGAGAGATCGCGTACTGAACCCTCGCACCTTGGTTTGAGATAATCTCATGCAGCGAGTACCGTTAGATAAGCGGATACAAGGTGAAATCTCGACTGGCGCAACTGTCTGTTCAGGTCTTGGTTTCCACTGGTGTCGTCCAGTTACGCAACGCAGAGCGCAAAGAGGGAGAGTTGCAAGGTAAACAAGGGTGTCTCGTAAAATTGCGGTTGCAGCTGCAAGCAGGCAGATCAAGTGACTGCACGTGTGGTGGAAGGGTGCTGCCGGCCCACTAGCCACTCTCCTTAGGCCTTTCCTTTTGATCGCAGTGGCATCGATGGATGTAGCCAAGTATGTAGGTAATAATCATGTGTGTGTGTGTGTGTGTGTGTGTGTGTGTGTGTGTGTGTGTGTGTGTGTCTTGCTGTTGGTGTGGATTCGCTCAAGTCAGGCAGTTTGCCGCGAAAAGGAAAGATTGAAATACACACCCGACAAGCAGCAGCAACACTAGCAGCAACAGGCATGTATTGACGGGAGCTAGCCGAAGGCAGAAAATGGACGACGGGCCGGGGTCGATCCATGTATTAGATGGCCAAGAATGATAGACGCGTGACTTGCGTGTGTTGTGAGAGGGTCGTCCAGTCCAGCTTTGAGGGTTGCTCAGCCGATGAAAGTCAGTATCAGGTATCGAAAGTTGACTGCAACTTCGGAGTACTTTTCCACCTCAGCTTTGGTTCGACCAGAACTTAAAGAAATGGGGGGAGGACATGGACAAATAATGGGCCCGTCATATCCCGTCATGTCGATAACATCCAGGTTGACCACCTGGTCACCTCAAAAGGCCTGGCTGCGACCCCGTCGCCCAGCAAACTCTCGCTTTAGAAAAAGGGTACAGTATGGAAGTACTGTCTCGGGCAGAGAGACCTTGGCTGACGGGAACTCCCCCCTCCCGTCGTCGCAACCCAAACCTCCAATGTTGACGAAACGACATGACTTGACAACCGCCCAAGCAGTTGTATTTTTTTTTGTCAGAAAAAGAAAGAGCGAAAAAAAAAAAAAAAAAAAAAGGTCATCCGGGACCGACCACGAATAATTCCAGTATCCACCTCGGTCTTGGATCGTCGCAACGCGGTTTCTGCGCGGGCCGAAGAGAACGAGCGAATCCAGTAGCGAAACAAAAATATCCGGCCGCAGAAAGAAAAACAGAAAAAGAAACGAAGGAGAAAGAGGGAAGCGGAATGACGGCGACAACGCAAAGACAGACGGCATACGCGGTTCCGCCGAGGAATATTGCTGCTGCGAACTGCGACCGAAAGCCGGGAAGCTGAGACACATGGTCGACGAAATGACTGTATCGTTTTCCCGGTTGGGAAGAGGGTGCCGAAAGTCAGACCTTGCTGTCGCGACCGTGAATCGACCGTCGAGTATCAAAGAAAGCCTCCAACGGTCGCAGTCGCATCGCATTCCATCCATTCATGGCAGCGCTGCAATGGGGATGGGGCAATGCGCCTGAATGCCTCTGATGGGGAGGGTTGACATGGGGGACATGGGGTCCCGCTAGAGGTATGGGTCTTGCCATACATGATGGCTGGAGGGATGCTTGGCCCCACGATGGATGCACCACTCCCACTCAAACCACCACCACTCGCTCGACCTCTCTCCGATCCCATGCTCGCCATGCCATGCTTCAATGGCTGCGTCGTCACCTGTGTTGACCGGTGTTCTCCAATTTATCCATCCAGATTCAGCATGGCTCTTTCAAAATGGCAGTACCACTGCATCCCCTCCACCCCTCCATAGACGTCCGGGGCAGGTTACCCAGCATTTCCATGACAGAAAGGGAAACCTCGTAGTAGCCACCGTCACCGCCACCGTTGAGCATCACTTTTCTCTCTCTTTCCATTGCTGACCTCTCATCGGCTCGAATCTTCTCTTCGATACGCATCTAGCACCCAAAGGGATGCTCGAGATGGCCTTCATAACGTGTCGCCTGCAGGCCTGCAGATTGGCCTGATGATAAATGGACAGCCATATGCATCCGAGACCAGCGTGCAGCTGCACATGTGACCCCCCATTTGCTGGTCTGCCGCCATGATAGGGTGTGGCTGCTCTGGGGAAGTGTGGCCAGCAGACGGAGCTGGTGGTGGCCGTAGTGGTGGTCGATGGTGGTGGACGCGGTGGTGAGTGAGATTTGGCCGCGACCCTTTTATTCGTGAACCCAACCCAACTCGTGCCAACGTGTCCAACCAGCCCCTGGCCCTTTTTCTTCCGCCCGTCGCTGTGCGAGATTTCCAGCGACACCTTTCTTCACATTCCCTCATCGTGCCCCTCGTCGGTCGTTGAGCCATGATCGCGGCGGCGAGATTGACGGTCCTGTCGTAGTCGAGGAAACACGGAGCCTTTTTTTTTTTTTTTTTTTTTTTTTTTTTTTTTTTTTTTTTTTTTTTTTTTTTCCCCTCTTGGTCGCTCGGTCTTCCGGTTCTTGTCTTGCTCTTAAGTCGCACGAGAAATTCTGTTGAAGCTGAGCTGCGACGTCTTAACAAAACTTTGTTCAATTGGCCCGTTGATCTCTGAGCTTGGTAGTTCGAATCCCCACTGACTAGAGGTCGGAAGGCTTGCTTCGGCGACCATTGGACGCTGTGCTGAAAAGATTCGCCAATGAGGGTGTTTGCGCGGCCATGTTCCATCACACGAGCTGAGAAGCACACGTCAAGCGTTCGTCCTTGTAAGAGCCGCATCGTCCGGGTTATGACAAGTGCGAAATGTGATGTCGGTCAGGGTGATTTGAGAGTCGTCGCCGCCGTCGTTTGTCGCCATCGTCGGAATGTGTGAAGCTTCCATGAGAATTCTGGAAGAAACAGCGACGGCGGTCCACAACATGGAATCCCACGAGCGTCTTTAAATGTCTTGCAATGACCTCGGACGCTTCTCCACATAAAGCTGCTGCAAGATGAGCTGGCAGGGCACCAAGCAGCAAGGTCCAGCACGTCCAGCACATCACAGCACACACTTTCGCTACACCAAGGAACCTTAGCAAAGAGCACGGCAGGGCAAGCGGACGGATTTGGCAACATTTCCAGCAATAGTACCATCAGGCTTTGCCGGGCCATCAGCTATATGAATACCAGCCTCATTAGGTTGCTGCTGGCTGTCCCATTACGTCGTGTTCGCTTTGCTGTCAATGTTGCGCCCTGTCTGCGCCCGGGTTGCATATGGTGTTTATGCGTTTCGCCCAGTTCCATGTCTCCTTGTTTATTTATTCCTTTATCTTTTTGGTCCGAGGCGACGTGCTACGCATATGGGAGGTCCTTCCAGAAAGGAGGGAGAGCATGGTTCAACGACGTTGCACACAAAGACAAGCCTGGCGGGTCCCTGACATATGAGATCACATACAGCATATATCGAAGCCAGAAACCGTCAGAGACACTACTTCCGCCGCAGTACCCTTTTCTTAAAGGCAATGTTTAAAGCTTGGAAAGTGACCAGTGGTCTATCAAGAGCGCCACGCAGTTGCAGCAGTTTCGCATTCCGATGGAAGAGGGGGACGATATGTGGTTATTGTTCCACAGACGGCGATGGCTGCACAGGTTGGGACGGAAACGCCAGTACAAAGCAGACCCTTTGGGCTCATATAGGTTGTCGGACGTCATCGGTGTTGAGACGTGAAATGACATGGAGGGTTGGGTTTAGCACATCCGGAACCTAGATCCTAAGCTTCCCCATCCGGATATCCCCAGACTCCCGCTTTGCTCGAGGCATTCTCTTCTCTCTCCATCACCATTCCACAGTGGACGAGACACTTGACACCAAGGCCGCCCAATTTCGAGCCATTCGCAATCTTAATTGACTCTGAAGACAAGCCTTCCCCCTTGTCGAATAGCTGGAAAAATCGCTGCCCAACGCCGACACTTCCAACGGCAATGTCCATTGATGTGATGAAGCGATGAACTTTTTGCTGGTCGAATGGGAATTCCATGCCATTGCGCCGCCAATTGATGGTGGGGTCAGCATAGCCCAAACAGACATGACAGCTGCCGAATGCCTTTGGCTTTTCAGCTGCCGGGCCGTCGGGGGCTGCCGAGGCTGCCAAAAACGAAACGCAGAGGTCTGCGGCAGGCAAGATCAAGACCACCGGCACAGTGCCGGACAGACCAGGCGAGGTGGACAAGCTCACGGTGGCACGGCCTCAGCTGGATTGCCTGCCACAAGACTCCGGCGGCCATCTTTAGCATTGAATGGCGATCTCTTTGACCATGCGCCGATACCAATTGGCAGTAGCGCCAGCCGCCGCGAACGAACAATTCCCATTGCTACGCTTGTCCCCAGACTCTCAGAATTCTGACTGCAACTGGCACGCCGAGAAACAGCGACTCCCTCTCTTGTTCGGACCTGCGCGTCGTCTGCCCCAAACAGCTCCCTCTTACGTCCACCGTCGTCGCCGACCCATCGATTCTCTCTTTGGCAGCGTATTTTCCCGGCAGTCAACAACTGAATAATTGCTTCAGCCCAACTGAGGCGTGGCAGTTCGTCGCCTCCAACTGAACCCTCTCAGCATCCGAGTCGCCAGCCAGCGGTCCAGTCGCAGTTGAGCATGCTGTCGCAAAGATCAAGGAGCCAAGACAAGAACACCGCAACGGCAACGGAAGAATAACGGCACCAGCGACCGGCATCCTTTTCCTTCCCTTCCTCTCCAACGAAAGCACCGCGAAGCACCACACGCTTTACTTAGCCGACTACACAGGTACTCGGCCACATCAACTTGCATCATTCTGCCGCCGAGACGAGACGTCACCTTCTTTTCAGCCCGTCGCTCGCTCCACTCTCACCTTCTCATGATCTTTGCGCCTAATCCTACCGACTCCGCCGACCGTCTCCTTTTCCCTAGGTTGCCTTTTCGATCTGCACCTTCTTAGTTTTTCCTTCGACTGCGACCTTCGTACGGCAAACGTGCGCCAAGTGCCCTCGACACACAGACACACAACCGAACCATTACTCACAGTCCCTTATTCGGGTGCGCGCAGGGCGACCCCAGCTGCTGCATCCACCATGGAGGACGGCCGTCGCTCACCGGATTCGTCCAAGGAATCAAAGTCGGAGGAACACTCCAAGATGAACGGCTCCAAGCTAAAACGGGATGGCGCCAGCAACGCCGGCAATGCGGCCACGCCAAACGGCTCCCAGACCGGAAACTCGAGACCCCCAAGCATGTCGCCCGACGAGCACAAGGCTGCGAGTGAGAGCACAGCAACTCCCAGCGAAAATGTCCCGACACAAAAGCCTTCGCGAAAGGCATCTCAGAAGAACATGAAGAGGGAGCCGGTGCTCTTCAACCATCTCCCCGACGTGAGGGAAGAGGCATGCACACATTTCCAGGTCATTCATGACTGTCTCTATGGCTCAAAGAACATGGGTGCATCCGAGCACGACGCGTTGGATTGTGACTGTGCGGAAGAATGGCGTAAGTGAAAATATCTTCAGTTTCCCCTTGCCGCTAGCGTCATGTCCTCCTCCGGCCCGCCCGCCCGCCGGCGCCCCCCCAACCGAATACTGACACCTGGCTCATCGTATAGGCGGTGATATGAACCATGCGTGCGGGGAAGATTCAGACTGTATCAATCGGGCCACGAAAATGGAGTGCGTTGACGGCGATTGCAACTGTGGTAGCGGATGCCAGAACCAGCGCTTTCAGCGAAAACAGTATGCCGACGTGTCGGTCATCAAGACGGAAAAGAAGGGGTTCGGCCTCCGGGCAAACACGGATTTGCAAGTTAACGACTTCATTTTCGAGTACATTGGCGAGGTTATCAACGAACCGACATTTCGCAGCCGCATGGTCAAATACGACAAGGAGGGCATCAAGCACTTCTATTTCATGTCACTAACCAAATCCGAGTTTGTTGATGCCACTAAGAAGGGCAACCTCGGCAGGTTCTGCAACCATTCGTGCGATCCTAATTGCTACGTCGACAAGTGGGTGGTTGGTGACAAGCTGCGCATGGGCATTTTTGCGGGGCGCGCAATCAAGGCTGGTGAGGAACTGGTGTTCAACTACAACGTGGACCGCTATGGCGCCGACCCGCAGCCTTGCTACTGCGGTGAAGCAAACTGCACCGGTTTCATTGGCGGCAAAACGCAAACAGAGCGTGCAACCAAACTGCCTCCTGCCACCATCGAGGCGCTTGGTATCGAAGATGGAGACAGCTGGGACACGGCGGTGGCGGCCACCGTCAAGAAGCCCCGCAAGAAGAAGGCTACCGAGGACGATGAAGAGTACATCAACCGCTTCGAGCCTCGTGGCCTCGATGAAGAGGGTGTCACCAAGGTCATGGCTACGCTCATGCAGTGCAAGGAGAAATGGATTGCCGTCAAGCTGCTCGGCCGCCTTCAGAATGCCGACGATGACCATGTCCGGAACCGGGTTGTTAAGATGCACGGATACCAGATTTTGAAGACAACCCTCAACACCTTTAAGGAAGACACCAATGTCGTTCTGCAGATTCTCGATATCCTGTACCAACTCCCCCGCATCACCAAGAACAAGATTACCGATTCCAACATCGAAGCCGCCGTCGAGCCCCTCACCCATTCCGACCATGAAGATGTCGCGTCGCAGTCCAAACGATTGCTTCAGGAATGGAGCAAATTGGAGACAGCCTATCGCATCCCGCGCAAGAAGCTCGACCCCTCCGCTCCCGTAACCACAAATTCGTTTGAGGATGACCGCCGTAACGTCAATCATGAGGAGCATCCCTCAAGACCTGTCAATCCATTCGAGAACATGGTTGTGCCCACGGGTCCCCGCAGCAACATTCCCCAACGGAACATGAACTACTTCAACAACCAGAGACCACGCAAGCTTCCAACGAATCTTCCTGCAGGATGGTTTGTCACCACTGACAGCACAGGCAAATACTATTTTTACGACAAGAGCGGCCATACCCAGTGGCAGCGGCCTACAACGCCTGCTGTCGACGTGCCCAAGCCCTCTGCCAAGGTGGAACAAAACCAGAAGGCTCTGCAGGATATCATCGACAGTTTGACTAAGGAGCCGACGCCCCGCCATTCTGCGAACCAAACCCCTAAATCCAACACACCCGTGCCAGACAATGGTAAGAAGGAGAAGTGGAGGTCTCTTCCGGTTGAGAAACAAATGAAGATCTACGAGAACACAGTATGTCCAATCCCGGAAGCCAACTCCCCCTCCTATTGCGGTGACGCTAAACAAAGTACTTTCAGCTCTTTCCTCATGTGAAATACGTCATGGACAAGTTTCACCGAAGACTTCCCAAGGAAGACCTTAAGCGTTTCGGCCGTGAGATAAACAAAAAACTGGTTGCTTCCGACTACAAGAACCACCGTGTCGATGACCCTACGACCATTTCCTCCAACCAGGCAAGGAAGATCAAGAAATTTGTTAAGGACTTCTTTGATCGTGCTGTGGTCAAGCACAGGGAAAACGAGCAGCGCGCTGCACAGAAAGCCGGGCCATCATCTTCCGGCGCCCCATCGCCTACCAACGGCGGTTCAGCAATGGAACCCAAGTCACCACTTGGCCGTAACGGCGCCAGCAATGCCCCCGTCAAGAACCAGCAGCCCGACGCCGATGGCGATATCGTCCTTACAGACGTGGAGGATGAGGGCGAGAATACTCCTGCCACCTCCAGCCCAGACCGCAAGAGGAAGCGTGCGGAAGAGCAAGAGGTTCCGGCGCCGGCATCCGAAGCGATACCTTCACCGAAGCGAGCCAAGGAGGACTCGACAACCGAAGACTCGATCCCCAGCCCTCCGCCCCCTCCGCCGCCGCCGACAGATACTCCACTCACCGAAGAGGAGCGATCAATGCGCGAGCAAGAGGAGGCCTTAATGAGGGAGAACGAAGAAGCGCAGAGGCTGGAGGATGAGGAGGCCGAGCGCCGGGTGAGTGTTACTGTCCAGGGAGCGGGTGCTGCGACCAGCAAGGTGAACGGGGTAAATGGGACCAAGGCCCACCATACCTCGGAGGCATCACCTGCTGTATCCGATGAGAGTGGGATGGATGCTGGTCGTGATGAGAAGAGTAATAAGCAAAGGGTACAACAGGAGCCCGTCAGTCGTTAGCTACCTTTTATAAGTTCTTTTCATTTCTTTTTTTTCTCTTTCTTTTTTTATTCTTCTGGGTGCGTGGAAAAGAGTTCAAGGGCTGTTGAAAGCAAATCATGAACAGAGAGGCACAGTTCAAGGAAAATGCTCGAATGGCCTTTTCCTTATCGGTTCGTTGCATGAAACGGTTACCGCCTAACCGCCCTGGAATCATTGTTGGCTGGTTGGCATTAGAAAAGTGGTTGGTTTGGTGGGTACTCGTTTATCCGGTTCATGTTGGTGGGTCGGTTGGTCGGTTGGTCATATATCCAAAACCGGTTGGTACACGGTCCAAAGGGTTGATGGTTTTCTGAGTCATCATTCTCAGCATGTCAAATGTCCGGGGAAAGACGGACGAACAGACAGACAGGCATGGACTCTGGTTATTGCTTTCCTACGATGTTCCTTTCATCAGCAACAAGTTTATTTTTATATTCAGGTCTAGGTCGGTGACGGATTGGGTGATGGATGTGCCGGTGCTAGGAACAATTTGACGGTCATCAACATATAGGCGGTAGGCTACTATAATTGGTGGACGAGGGGTAGCAGTATTGCTGGCTGACTTTTCAGTCATGGACACACACGCACCTGCCCCCTTGTATTGCCTTGGAGGAATTTTCTATTGGTAGAGAACGCAATACTGCATTTTGACAACGGACGCGGTGGTGGTGGTGGTGGTGGATTGACACACACACACACACAAGTGATAGCAGATACATTCATCCTCGCTACATCCCAAACGGCCGGGCAGCTTCTGGCAGCTGATCGCTGGAGGAGGTCGTGTTGAAAAAAGTATATCTACAGGAACCATGATACAGGTGGACTTCACGGTGAAGATATCTGCCAATGCAGACGTGTGGCTACAGTGGACCTGGGTGGCAGATGCCTACTTGGTTGCTTGTTTCAAACTCATACAGAGCTCCCTCTTTGTCTCACCACCTCTTCCCTTTCTCCCTTTTTCTTTTCTTTTCTTTTTTTTCTTGCTCTCTTTCTCTTTATCTCTCCAAGGCGTTAGGTCTCAGAAACAAAATGGGAATCGGAGATATGGAAAAGCATCAGTCGGCAACGGCGTTTTTTTTGAATTTGGGAAGTGCCCGGAGTGAGATGAGAAACAAAGGCGTTCGTTGGCGTTTGATCTTACCTATATATATATACACAGAGTAGTAATTCCTTGTGGAAACTTATGGCATGGCATTGTTGTTTTCATCACTTGCTGTTTGGGTTTCTCACAGTATCGTTATTGTTCCGCTCTTCGTTAGGGGCAAGCAAGCCAGTAAGCAAACTGGTAAACAGGCAGCCGGACTGGACTGGACAGACGGGCGAGTGCAAACTGGTGCGAAAGGCACAAGACAAGACAGGAAAGAGATAGAAGCAAAGTGGAAAAAATCTTGGACACCGTTTGGCGAACGGGGGAATATAAGCTAGAGAGAGGGAGACATACGCTTGCCATTTCGTTGTACTCACGGCGATTGGGGATGTGATGTGGGTTGAACGAGGGAATATACCGCTGTTTGGTACATGGAATCTAGAAAATATGCTATCATGAGTAGAACATATTTGACGTGAATGTTATTGGATCGATACGGGAATTTTTGGGAAACAGTCTGATCATAGCGGTGAAGTCTTTCCGCTCGCTCGTTGGTGCTTATAAGCATGAGCTCTGTGAAGATCTCGGTGGATCTTCGTCTACTTGTTCACTTCGCAACTGGTGTTCACTCAATGCGTGAACAGGTGTAAACAGTTTCAAACGTACTCGGCTCTTATGCACATCCGACGAGGCAATACGACCAAGTGATAACACGTGAAAATTGCAGTCCGTCAATCAAGAGCGTTCTGGCAGGTTGTTCGACTAATCTGTAATTGGCTATATGTTTTACAAAGAAGGTAGATGGTGATCATCCAAATGTTGCTAATATTGGAATACATCCATGCAAGAAAAAGAAAAGGGTATCTATCAAGCGCCGTCTCCTAAGGTCGTTAAAAAAGTATATCCAAGAACCAGAACCAATTACCAGAGAAAAGTCAAAAGCCGCGACCAAAAACCGGGTCGTTTTTCCGTCAATCTTATCTTTCCAACTCCTTTGCTGGCTTCGACGCTGCTGTTGCTGTAGCGCCGTTGTGTAGCCTCCTAATCCCATCCGGTCCAGATCCAGATTATCATGCCCTTCCCCCCTCATATGTACCTGTATATACCGTTGATTATCATTAGACAAAAAGCCATTAAGTGTTGTGTGTTTGGTTCCGTCTCGACCAGCATTACCTGCCTGCCCTCTTCGAAACGATCAGAGCGGCGCACACCCGCTCCATCATTTCATTCTCATATCATATCAACCACACCAACCCCGCCACCACCGTCGTAAAAACCGGCACTACCACCACCAGCTTCCTTGACCCCAATGTACCTGCACCACCGCTCGTGGACGACGACACTATCTCCTCGGGCAATGTCTCATTAGCAAACCCCACGCCACAAACCACATTCACCATCTTGGCTGCCTGCACATAAACTCCCGCCACGGGCTGCTTGCGGTCGGCGGCAGCCGCATGATAGACCTGCATCGTCTCCCTCAGACACCCATCACAGGTCGGCACCGTCGACCCGGGCAAACTGACATTCAGCGCCAGGTGATAGACATAGACGGAGCTAGGGTTGGTGAAGTTCATGACGGCGTTTGCGTAGCAGTATCCTTCGACTACTTCTGAAGAAGAGGAGGAGGAGGAGGTGGTGGTGTCTTTCAGACAGGTAGCCGAGCGAACGGGGGCGTAGGCGATCAGGGCGACGTACGCGTCGCGGACGACGGTGTGGCCGGCGCGGAACTCAGCGCCGCAGTTGGCGTCCGAGATGAGGTCAGAGGCGAGCGAAGAGAGGTAGGAGGTGCAGAAGTTGGCGTTGGGAGAGCACGAGGCGTCGAGGACGCGGGTGAGCGAGACGAGGGAGCGTTGAGCTTGGAAGAAGGATTGGGAGCCCTGCGCGAAGGGGAAGGGATGTTAGTTATTGTATAATATGAATAAGAGGAGAAGAGAAGGACAACAACAACAACAAAAGTGGGAACATAGTACATACCTGCATCAATAACGAGATGGGGTAGCACTGGTTGAAAGTCTGGTTATTGAGAAAAGAGTTGAGAAAAGCCGGGCAGTTGCTGTTGGGACCAAAGTTGGCGGATAAACTGCCGTCGAAGAACTTGGGTAGGGAGCTCGATACGGCGGCGGTCTCTTCGGCCCGGGCGGCGGTGAAAGTGGAAGTACCCGTGGGTTTCTCGGTGACGGTAGAGACGGCGATTTGGAAGGTGGTTGTCACGGAGCCGGATGCCACGGAGGTCATTTCCTTTTCCTCACGCTTCCTCAACCCTCCATGCTTCAACTCCGCCTCCTCCGGTGATAGCAAGATCCATTCTCCTTCATCGATGGTTGGTGGTTCCGAGGTGTCGATATCCAACGGCGCGTTAAAGTCGATGGAGGTGCTCAAGTCATCCTTGATTTCGATAGCCAGCGCCCGCGCTGTTACCTGGCTGACAAGGCAAAGCAGGACGACTAGGGTGACGACAACCCATTGGGTCTTTTGTGAAAAACGGGAGGTAAACGAGTACATGATCATGTCACGGCTGTAACAGAGTGTCGTAGCAGTTGGTGGTACATTACTCTGTGGAACACAGATGTCGAGTTGTAGGGTATGTAAAAACGAAGGACGGGAAATTTCCTGATCGGCCGGGTTAGACAGACAGATCGGTGTTAGGGCGCGTATGTCTCGGTATGGTTTAGTCGATCTCCCTTCGTATGTTGATGACCAGGACGGGGGGGGGGTTAAGCGATGAGAGCAGCGAGCGAGCAAGGGAAGCGCAAGTGGGGATGTCTTTCCTGTCTTTATATCACTGCAGCGGTCCAGTTCCTTGTAGGGAGACCGGGGAGTGATGGGTGATAAATGGCGCCGGCCCAACAAGGCGGGATGGGGGTGAGGAGGAGGAGGAGCTAACAATCCAATGTTGGCATCTGTCTGGTCCAATCCAAAGGCAGCGTCCCGTGGGCTTTACTTAGAAGAAAGGCCCAAGGGCGGGCGGGATCAGGGAAATCGTCCGATATGGGTAGGCGGGTAAATATAAGACGAGGAACAGAACAATGGGACACCAATGGAGACGAAGAACCGGTGCAATGCCGACGGTGGTTGCAGAAGCAATGCAGAAAAAAAAGGCAAAGGTCTGCGGGTGTTCTGGCCAGAATGGAAGCTGGGGGCGAGCGGAGTGCGGACACTTGGTTCGCCCGGATGGATGGTTGGCTCGGCTGCGGAGATGAATAATGGTGTTGAGAGCAGGGCAGAGCCATGTACCCTGTCCTGTCTGTTGTTGGGAGAAGAGAAATGGCTCGAAGGAAAACAAAGAGGGCTGAGAGGGGTGGACGAGGAAATTAGGTAAACAAAAAAGGCAGTCGGACAAGTGCTAATGTTCCCATTGGGGGTGGCACTACACTAGTGCTGTGCGTAAAGGCTGCTACTGTAAAGATCTGGGTCAGGGGTAAAGTGGCAGAGAGGCCAGCCCCAATGCTTCTTTGTTGATGGTGGTGTGGTTTTTTTTTTTTTTTTTTTTTTTTTTTTTTTTTTTTTTTTTTTTTTTTTTTTGAGGCCCGGCGTTGTGGCTGTCCTGTTGTGTCCCTCTGTGCCGTCCTCGAGCTTCGACAACCTTCTCTCTTCACTAGTTCCTTCCAAGACGTTGAATGAGCCGACCATGGTGGATGCTAAGCCCGGTGATGGCCTGGAGGGTGTTTTACTCGAGAACGGACCTCGATGTTGAGACAAGCAGAGTGGGATCTCTGTCTCGTACCTTGGAGATGCATGCGGAGTGGAGCAGGGGTGTGGACGGCGAGGATGGTCAACAGGGGTCCCGAAAGAGGCCATCACCAACGAACGGGACGAGAGCTCGGACCGCTGGGCTTGGTTACACCGATGCAAGCAAGTGGGTAGGCGAGAAGCGTGGTGATCAATTATTGAATGGCGCATTTTATAATAACAAAGGTACGTACACTACATTATGTACGTGTATACATACAGCGTATATAATGCAGGGGACCTGTCTTGCGCATCTCTTTCGCTGTTGCTGCTGGCTGCGCATTGGCTCGGTGCATGAAGCCGACTTTGTGCATTTTATTGCTTCCATCAGCCTTCCATAGCTGTCATTGGGTGAACTCGGTGAACCAATCGAATTTGCTAAAGAGAGGAAAGAGGTCGTAAACGGTTAATGACGATTATTGATGGTGGTTGATTGTGGTGGTTTGGTGGCGTTGGAGTGGCTCTCTTTCAGCCTCCAGATGAGCGCAAGCGACGGGAGGAACGTACGAAAGAAAAGGTTGGGAACAAGTGCCACAATTTGTCATCTCATTGGATGAAGCGATGAAAGCCAAAGACGGCCGACGGCCCATTCAACGTGCGTGCGTGGAATTCAGTGGTACCTGGTAGGGTTCAGCATCGCATCAACTGGATGATGAACCCGATTTAGATCAGACGCAGGTACAAGCCATCGATGTTCAGTTGACTTCCAGATCGGTGGTTGAGGGCAAAAGATGGGAAGAAAAGACTACCACCTCACTGGCGACCGCAAACCGGCACATAAGCGAGATTTGGCTTTTCATCAGCAGCTGCTGCCAAGCGAGTGCGTCCGTGCGTGTAAACAAATCGATTTTGTAAGCGAATCCGTCTCCCATCACTGTCGTCGAAGCAATCAATCATCAACACACTTGCTTCACTGGCCTCGGACTTTTCCCAATTGCACCCCGGCGGATGCCCACAGCGAATGAATCCAATCTGCAATCGGACGGGGAAAGATTCTCATCCAAGCTTCTCATAAGTCCTTCTAGCTCTGTCTGCTGTGTACCTCACCCCTTGCCACGTTCGGGTGTTCTCAAGTTCGAGTCCTGCTTGCACGACATTATTGGTGCGACAGGACATCTGTCTGGATTTTCTTTGACAAGCCACGGCTTCCTTGTTCTTCCTTCTTAACATTCCGACTTTGACGGTCGTCTGAAAACGATCCTTCGCACAACAGAGAAACAAAAGACGGAAAAAGTCTAGACCACCCTCAGCCTCCATTGTAGATCCGGCCGGTTCCGGGGATCAGCACAAAGCGGAATGATCCTTCTGATCCTCTCAAGTGTAGTGTGGTGGACCGTGGCGCGAGAGAGATTCCCAATCTCGCAATCTCGCGATGGTCTCCCGCCCGTACATAGCTCGTCAAGGTACCCCGTACCCCCGTAACCCCAACAATGTTTGCGGTACCCTACGTACCCCCGGAAGACACCATCATCACCACGCCTTCGGGTGTGCCACGGGGCCACGTTCGTTCGGCATTGAGGTAGGCAATAGGGGTGGGTGCCCTACTTATCACAATATTAATAACCGAGGCTTGCTCTTGAAGAGGATGTGGAATATGTGTCGGTATAATTCTTTATAATCCAAGTGTTCATATGCTTTTTCTCGCAATCCTGGAATATGATCGATCAGCGGGGTAGAAATAGTTCAATCACGGCAAGATGTCTTGGCTTGGTCTTCGGAGAATAGAGAATGCGGTGATGTTTGGTCGGTTATTTTTCCAAGAACGAATAATAAGGGCCCCCAAAAAATAAAGGAAATTCGGAAGAAGCAACATATCGATGGCTCCGTAGTACAGTATTCGCGCGGTCCCAGGTCGCTCGTCATCACATATACTATCGCTCATCACGATAAGCCATTCCTTCACTCCAGACGATCGGACGCCCCCGGCTTAGGTCCGGGAAAGAGAAGACCGTACCCTTTCCTCGTCATCGGCTGTCTGAGTAAGAGGTTACCAAATTTCAATGAACACAGCTGTGTGATCTGGTCATCTTTCATGCTCTTGAATAGCGAAGTGTCAAGCCTCTCTATCGATCCCGATGAGATGAGATGAGATGGAATCCTCTACTTTTCTCGAGATTTGGAAACCCATGGTTTAGTCAACCCTTTTTCCGAACAACCACTCGTCTACACATGTCCCTAGACTTCATCACGCATCAATCATGTCAGCGCCCGCATTCAACCGGAGGCACGAGTCTGGGTCTGGAACCCGTATCGTATACAACAGAACGCCGCCAGATGTACATATGCGTGTCTGAGACCGGCCGGGCATTGAACGGGCTGAAGGGGTTAAGAATAGGTGAGAGTGGTTCAGTTCGACATCAGCCAGGTACTTGAAGATATGGGATCCCCTCCTTTCTTTTGTGTAACTGGCCGGCCACCCGTGAGCTTGCCACATTTGCCCGTTCATGCTCCCTGGGCTGGCTCAGTTTGCTGGGTGGAAGTGAAATGGATAGATGGTGCTGAACGATGGGTAGTGTTGTCGGTGGTGCGCTGGCTGTCAATCACATGCTTGAATGAGTCCTGGATGATTACTGAATCCATTTCCATTCCATCGTAAAAAGCCCTTATTCGTTCAAGTATGCATCCCGTTCCAAAACCAACCCAGATACCAAGAAGCCGCCATTCGTTAGAATCACAATACAACAAACCTACAAAAACCAAGTTTACCTTACCAAAAAATGCTTCAACCTCAGTAACGCTCTCTTCCCTTTCTTTCCTACCTGCCCACACGCCCAATATCTACGCAAGATAGACGTAATTCCCACCCTCTCTCTCGATATAATCCTTTTCGATAAGCCTGGTTTTCATCAAAAAGGTTAGTATACATCCCTCCCAAATGTGTCAGTACCCGAAGGAAAACACCGAAAAAAACGTACTTCTCTATATTCGCCTTGATATCCGCCGCATCTACCGCCCCTCTCTGCTTCGTCTGGTTAATCACTTCGGCCACCAGTTGCGCATGCGCCATCTTCTTCCGGCTCTTCATGATGCGCACAATCGCCGCCTGCGTCTCAAACTGTCTGTCCTGCGCGACCCTTTCATGCGTCTCCTTGTTCTCTTCCTTGGTCTCCTTGAGTTGGATCTGGTTGATCTTGACTCGGAACTTGGGATCGGTGAAGGACTTGTTAACAGAAAACGTGTCGGTCTTGTTGACGTCGCGACCCTTGGGGTGTTTGTTGATGACGCGCGTCTTGCCGCAGGCTAGGGACTGCAGAGTTCGTTGAAGCTCGGGGTCGGGCATCCCCGTTGCTGAGGCGAGTTGCTCGTAGGAGAGGATCCCGTCCGGAGACTTTTCCTCGGCTTCGTTGAAGAGGACGAGGACGATGGCTTGGAAGGCCGAGACGAGTAGTTCCTTTGGTCCGCGGTCGAAGCGTGCCTTGACGACGCAGTGCGCGAGGTTGTGCTTCCATGTTAGACGGCGACCGGTATGCTTGAATTTGTAGTACGTGTCGAACGTGGTGATGTGGTCCAGCACATTTTGCGGCAACAGGACGCGAACATCGGGGTAGGTAGGCCATGCGGCGGCTGACAGGACATTAACGCTCAGGTCGAGCTCCGAATTGGCTACGGGCGAGTCCTCGCCCCTACCGGCTAGCCAGGTCTTGTAGGAGGCGATTTCGTCCTTGGCCAGTTCCTGATCCTTGAACATGATCTCCAGATTGTGGGTGAAACTTGAACCGCACTCGTTCTTCAGCTTGGCCAGCATGTTCCTCTCCGCGTCACGGCTAGCACTGCGACCC